TCTTCATCTCGCGTTGCTGCAGCTCGGGTAACAGTCCAGTCAATTTGTGAAAGGTTGTTCAAGATACAATCAAATTGGTTTCGCCACATCCGTATTATGTCTGCAGTCAGTGTACAGGTAGCGCCTGTAGTAGCATGGAGCAACGTCGTTAGCGGCTCCAACTTCAGTCCATACACCGCCTTCATGGAGTCAAAAAATTCCTTGTGTTGGCGGCGTTCGGCGCAGTATTCCATCTGCTTCGCCTTCTCCGTCCACCATGCATTTTTTATGCGACGGAGCTCTCCGGTCAGTCGCCGTCGAATTCTGCGAAACTGACTCTGGGGTCTGCGACATGTGCAGCAAATGCTGCATTCTTCTCACACACCAATGCGCCAATCGTCGCATCGTACTCATCAAACTAATCAAAGCAATTACAGTTTGCGCGCCCCATGGTTTACACGGCAGCAGTTGTCACCTGATCGCGAACGCGGTGCCACAGGTCACCCAGTGTGGCTATGCATTCCACATCATACAGGCGTGCAGCCATTGCCTTCCCCTGCTCAATACATTTCGGCACAATAACGAGCGAGAGAAGGTTAAATTTACGCCGATTCACGGCGGAACTGCAATACATAGATTTACGAAAATATATGTACAGTTTGGTCCGCACCAATTTGTGATCAGTGCCACACTCAGCTCCACGCAGTACACGTGTCATGCGCACTTCACGCATATCACGCTGACGTACGATGACATAGTCGAGCAGGTGAGCGTGACCACTCCGTGGGTGCGTCCAAGTTGCTATATCAATCGTGCTCAGTGCAAACCGAGTGTTCGTGATCGTCAGACCGTGAGTGGCACACAGTGAGAGCAGCCTGTCACCGTTCGCATTCGCTGAACCAATGCCATTTGGACCAATAACATCTGTCCACACCGATGCATCACGCCCAACGCGCGCGTTGAAATCACCCAGCAGAAATAGTCGGTCCTTCCGCTGCACATACCGTATCACGGAGGATAGCTGAGTGTAGAATTGATCACGCGTGTCATCAGGATAACACATGGTCGGACCGTACGTGCTTATAAAAGTGGCAAACTTACCTCCTCCGAGTCGTAGGCGAGCAGTCATCAATCGCGCGCTGATGCCTGTTGGTTCACCCACCAGCTGGGCACTTAGGCGATCGAATATTGCTAATCCGACTCCATGATCACGTGGTGCTGAGGCGGCGTTGCCCACCCAGTAGAACGTATAGCCAGCACCAACTTCATGTAACTTACTTTGCTCAGTAAGCCGGATCTCGCTGAGCGCCGCAATATCGATGTTGTAGCGAGCCAGTCCCAATGCGACTAGCGTAGTGCGTCGCCCGGGACGCTCATTCGTATTGCGGTCGAGCAAAGTGCGTGCGTTCCAGTACCCAATGTTGAGCGCTCTGTGCGGAGGCATACGATTGCATTTGCGGGCAACCGTATGGGAGGTGACGTCCTGGATTGCAGGAAGCAGTGGGTTAGGTGAAACGCGGACGGGAAAAGTATGTGCAGAATAAGAAGAAAGAAGAGAAGCGCCAGCAGTAGCATGTTTTCGTTTATCCAACCCGCTGCATGTAGCACATAAGGCGACCTTTTTCCTAAGGCCGCTGTGCGACGGCCGGTGCAGCATGGATTTATTATTATTGGCGTAATTCATAGTTGGGGGGTTGGACTAGGATACTACCAGGGCGCCCAAACCTGACAGGAGAAGGACTTGGGTCCTCAGCCAAAGCCTTCGATAAAGTGTACACCCGAAAGGCAGCGGGCAGAGCGCCATGAATCAGTGAACCGACTCACGCGGAATTGTGTCCGGGATCTTAGCTAGAAAAAGGGTGTAACCCAACTCCCACCCAGTGGTCGCCTCGAGGAGACGTCAAGGACATGAACCCACAGTAGAACACTGGCAGTAGCGGGTCGACGATCTGTCAAGATCTTGCCATCACAAGCTTCAGCGCACCATGGATGTAATTGGCTGAGAAAAGGCATATAAGTGACAGACAGCAAGTCAATCAAACACCGCCCACGTGAAATGACCACAATCGCACGGGTCAGAGGGAAACGGCAGAATTGCTTAGAGCTAGCGTGAATGAAGTGCAGCTGGGATACAAGCAAGGAGCAGAATGAGTGGAACAAGAGCGAGCGGACAGCACGTAACGCAAACGGACACAGTGATGACAGGGTCTGCGATGGCTTTGCTCAACTGTATGGGCCGGGCTGACGCGTAACTAGTGAAGAGGAAGCGAATCAATTTCCGCATGGGTCAGACGGACAGCGGAGAACTGATGCTGAAGAGCGTGAGTCAAGTTCGAGCTTGACCTAAGCAGGACGTGAGTGGGTTGACCCGGGTTCTATGGATGCACAGCAGGTGCAGGCCAGTGAACACAGCGGAGCGGTACTAAGAAATAACCAGTGGAAAGTTACGGCAATTGAACACCGCAATATAAAAAATTGCACTTTCACGATCACTGCCCAGACTTAATTTTTATTCCGGGTGGACCACACGACACTAAGGTTTTAGGGTTAAACAGCATCGAGTTTCCTCAAAGGGATCGCAGTGTTAAGCCGCATGTAAAGTTGTAACACCGAAGCTCCATTAGAGTGCGTGAACAAAGTGGTAAGAGGGCGCGTTCGCCGTTCAGATGAATGCCCGTGCCGACCCCAGTTCAGAAGCGTCAAGTACAAATTCTGTTGGCAAATATTAGCCATCGTCCGAGTGGCCAGAGGTACCTAAGGATTACCGTTGGTGGTATGAGTACTTGGACAGGCCACCTAAAGGAAAGTGAATGTTTATACGGAGCGAGGTCAAGGTGCAAGCGTGGCGGATCGATACTGACAATCGCTTCCTCCAGCTGTGGTAATGGTCGCGATCATCACAGCGACTTCCGGCGTGAATGTTTACAACTCGCTAAGTTTTATCATGTCAGCTGACCGGAAGCACACAGCATCAAGGAGTTCTACGATAGCGTTCACTCTCCTAGCCTCAGTGAATCGCATAAATGTCACGTGAATGCAGAGACCGTCAAAGGATGAAGAAAACTCAGAGAATGACCTGCCAATGACAAAGGGAGCGCGTGTGAGTTGCAGATTTGGATCGCCGCAAATGGGTTGGTAGGAAGGTCTCGGTAACCGTTTGGCCACATGGCTTGATTTATTAGGGTGGCAGATGGATATCTAGAGCCTTTATTAGGTTGATCAAAGTATGAAAGATGCAGAGCATCTTTAGCAATAAATCGTCGGTTGGTAGCAAAGGTCAACAGAGTAAAATAATATTATGCTAGCAGTGAGGGCTGAACACTGCCCCAACATGTTAGAAGCCTAAGGAGTACCTGCGAAAGGAATGGAAACTGACAAAAACGGGAAACTTATCTGATTTCAGATCCCGCGACTAGAAAATAATGCTGCAAGAAACGGATAAATTCAATAAGGTAGAATATCAGAATAAGTTTAAATTCACCAAGTTGCGTTGTGTCTTATCCGTAGCGGACAGAACCATGGAGACGATCCGTTTGCGTTAACCGAGGTGGTTTATTTAGCGTCTATTGTTAAGAACAGCGATGGTCATCCTCAACAAAATTCACACTGGGTTACTGACCGTCGGAATGTCACATTGTGATTATCAAGCTCAAGAACACAATGCCACACAGTAACACTGCAGAAACACAAAGATGGATAGGCAGTGTGAATTTAATGACTTAGACAATGGTGACTGGCAACCAAATCGCGCTTGGGCTCTAACTTGAACCCAGTAGTTCGGGGCGCCATTGCCGAATACAGTGGATGATCGAATGATATGGCCCCTGATCACTTGGGTAGACAGTAAAATCCATTCATCTCGCTAGTTGCATATACTAGCGGTTTGTTAATTTTAGTAAGTAAATTGAACGGAAAGCCTTTGTGAAGTAGTTAAGATTGTCAAAAATTGCTATGCTAAGTTGCTCCAAGTAGCGAAGACAAGAACAATCAGACAATCGGCCGCTGCCGTCGAATGATCACCACCAGAGCGAATGAGCAGGATTCAAACACAACCGACCAATTCGCTGTATCGCATTGCATGGTCGTTATATGACTATTGAATACGCCATAGTCGCTGACCAGGGCATCACCCAGCAAAAGTCAACTGCCAATCTAGTCAAGCGAGCGTACTGTACCCGGTAAACAGCACAGCAGTCAACAGATTTTCATCAGAATTGAGTACTTGCTTCTGCTTTTAGATTGATACTTTGACGATCTGACATAATAATACCACAATATCGGGATGGGTTCTGTAATCGGACCCCAACGCACCTCAACAATAGCAAGAACACATCAGTCATTTGAGTCAGTTGTGGGAAATCGTAAAGCAAAAGAAGGAATAAAGCAAGGTGCGTAGGTAAACTCCATCACTACTAAACTAGTTGTGAGAGCGATGTAATCGATAGCTCATGGGAGACAGTGCTCAAAATGCAAGTTCGTTAACAGGTCATCGCCAGCAACCGCGTCGTACGTAAACCACAGTCACAAAGCCAAGAGGAAGTATACGAAACGAATTTGACGTATGCATCTCGTAGTGATGTTAAGACGATGCGTGGGAGGTGGATGAGAGAACAAAATGTTGACAACTAACGGTAGGTAGTCACCATTCACAGGGCCATCCGAGGCGAACCGTAAACCAATACCGACTAAACACCAGAGTAGAACCAAGGCGTTAAAGCAAACGAAACAGTGTAGATTCCCTAATGACAAAAGAGGGCGTGGTAAGACAACAAAATACGGAGAGGTTGGCACTCTGGTAATGGGGATGATGGAATGACACATAAATGCGCCAAACTATCTACGAGTATCAAGATGTAATAAACAGTAGTTTAAACCATGAAATGTCTAACTCAACGTGTGACACAGTGTGCGACAATGCACAGGAAAGATGGAGGCAATTCGAAAATATTGCATATGTAGGTGGAAACAAAAGACGAAAGCCAGCAGGAAAAATACCAAAGAGATATAATTAAGCAACTAACTCGAAGTGTTTCTTGTTCACGATTCTGGCAAAATCTGGAGATTTTTGAGGATCTTTGCCTAAAAACGTAAGCAAGGAATCCTCCAAGTGTTTGTAGAATTCACTCTGGTGAGGATCGGGAGAGGGACAAATGGGAAATATGTGATGGACACTGGATGACGAAGAAGAAGTGCATATCATGATCGCGCGATACAGCTGAGGGTGTGAAACAAGCTGATAAGAGGAAGGTGGGGGGCAACCGGCAAATGAGGATAAGTGGCTATTAGAGAGATCGGCGATGTTGGCAATACAAGGCGACCTACTGCAGGACGGATAAGCCTCTTTAGATATGTATGGAATTAAAACCCATAAATATTGGCGAAAAATTTTCAACTCTGGAGTCATCCCATTGCAGATGCTGCTCTACAAGGGTGGCTACTATAACCAGCTCGGCATAACTCAGACGGGGAACGATACGTCAGCCAGGATCCAAAGCACAAGTATAGGAGGCTAAGCAAACACATGGTGCACGAAATGGAAGAAAAGTATGCATACGAGCTCGGGGAGGAGTAGAGAAGTAAGCTGGGCTTTCGGGATGTGCTCTCAAGAAGCACACACATTTTCGCAGGCAATTCTCCTACTAGTCGCGCATACAACGTTCTAAAAGCATTACAAATAGACCTCCTGTCCCATTTGTTCTACTGTGTTTTCAACACCTTGCCAAGTGGATGCGTCTTGGTGGTGTACTTGCTAACAGTGCTGAGAGGGAGAGAGGGCAATTCCCAAACCCTTTATTTCGGATACGGTCCTAGTGATCCGAATGATCGAGGTATACATCAAAATGAGTCGACGTCACAAAAGAGATTGTATGTCGCAATCCAACCATATTGCGTGTATTACAAATGGCTCAGATGGTTTGCTTGCCGGACACCTCCCCAAGATGCAAGCTGGGTGGCGGAGAAATTCCGCATTCTAGCAAATGGTTCGGCGACAGTGTGGATTTTTGCCTGGCAAGTGTTCTTCCAATAAAAGCCACATATGTCTACCTATCAACATTGTGATGTGGCGTAAATGACTTGCCACTAAATCAAGTTAATGTCCCATGTTTTCCAGGGAGACACTGTTCATCAGCAAGCTACCTGAGCATTGCATTTTGCTTCTGATGTCGGAAGTTTTCGTTCCCTGGAATGGATTATCGCAATCAAAAGCTCGTATGAACTGAGTGATCATTAATCAGCTCCCAATGAGAGCGAGACGCTTATCTCGGTCTGCAGTGTTGTGGGTTAGGTGCTTTGACCAAAGACTAAGAGCGGTGATCCCCTAAAACACTGATTCTCAACCTGAGGCTAATGTTCACCAAGGGGGTAAAATGGATTTTTAAATGGGGTAAATATAAGTACGAGGATTCTGTCAACAATATGTCGCCAAACAAGATTAACAACAAAAGCATAGGTATCAAAACAAGTAATCAATTACTTAACAAAAACAGATTAGCCATCAGTGACTATTAATTGGTGAGTGGTCAACGAATTAGATGAGTTTAGTTAATAAATTTTGTTATCTAAAATAAGTAAATAAGCCTGAAAAACAACACAGCTAGATGGCACCTTTCTCAACTCGCTCCTTGATTGTTTGTTGAGTCGAATAACAAGCCAGCTGTACGCTGTAACCGTGTTTCGCTGCCGCGCGACCACTAACAGTCGCGCGCGGGCTGAGTATACCGCGAGGACGTCCACCCATACGCGGATAGGGTCGAATAACAAAGTTCAGTGAACACTAAGGTGGGAGTATGGGTTAGCCGACAACGTAAAGGAGCGACCGATTGTTTATATGGTAAAAGGAACAAAACGAACGATTAAGACCCATGACGTATTGATACAGAGTGGCGGTGGGAAGCTGTCATCCAGGACGGATTTGGAAGATAAAGTTGAAACAAAGGAGAAGCCACTGACATCAGTTCATGTTGGATCAGGCAAGGAACCGAATGAATTTGGAGCACAACATACGGTGTGCGGTAACCAAAACCACAGCAAAGATACCAGAAATTGTGGCCGCTAAGCAATATCAACCGTATCATTAACTTATAGCAATTTTTGACATAATAAAAATAGCTCAAAAATGGGTGTGTTCTTTACTTAAATCATCGAACGTAACTAACATAAGCATTAATTGCCTGTAATTTAAGGCAAAAATGCAATAGTTGAGAGTTAATAAGCGTTTTAAATTAAAATGGGGGGGGAACTATGTATAGTGAACTCGCTTTGTGGGTAACAACCACAAAAAGGTTGAGCACCACTGCTCTAAAACAAACTACCTACTTCGGCATGAGCCACAGGACAGTGTCTCGACTAACTATGAGCCGCTGAAACGCACTGTCATGCCCCATGATGGGCTTCTCTGATGGCGCGATTCCCTGAATTCGCTCCGCTGCCTTGCGGGCAGGCTATTCAGCCAAAGGCTCGGGGTGGTGTCCCCTAAGTCAACACCCTACTTCGGCTTGGGCAACCGGGTAGTATCTCGCCCTCTGAGGAAACTATGGACATTGTTGTGTTGTGTTTTATTTTACTGTTTTTGTACTTTCGTTTGAATCCCATGGTTTCTGATGGCATTATGTCTGTTAGCAGACTTTTGCAAATATATATACCACACCAACTTTAAAACCATCCGTCAGTCACTTATCTACCCTCCCCTTGTACTATTCACGCCCTTTATTACCTGATTACGCAACGGCGAACAACCTCACCACGCCAAGGAATGTTTCCAATAACAGCTGCCAGATCGAAAAAACACTGCTTCACAGGGAACCACCAACCACCAACACTCCCATCGCCACCTCTACAATCTGGAACGGTCCCAACTGGCAATGTTAAATGTGCTCACTTTGCTGCAAACCGGACATACGCCGACTTTGGAAACTGACTGGCACATGAAGCTAGGATTCCAACACAGTCTACCGGTTATCGTTACCAATCCATTCATATATTCGTCTCCATCTCCGCCTTTCTGATGATGCTAGGTCCGCCGCATCTAGGAAAGCTGGTGTTAGGATCGCAGTGAGCTCATTAAGTGAGGACGCTCTAGTTGACTGGATTCCAATCAACAGTTGTCTCCGTGCTGTGAGGCTACGTCGCTCCTGCAACGTTAAGACATTTAGCCGACAAACATGCTTTTTTGTGATATCAGCCTACGCGTCCACTGAGCACACCCAAGGACCAGCTCTAACAAAGCCTTCATGATCTGCTCATAAGGGCACGTAAAAGGGACATTGTCCGGTTGGTATCTGCCAAGTGAACGCCACTTCCGTGGACCGCATGGGCATGATGATGATGTTCAGCTTGACGATCCAGAAGGATTGATCAGTCTGTTCCGACCGACAGCATTTCCTCTCCAGCGACAGCTCTCATCACCCCGGATGCTATTCCGTCACCCTGCGTAGTTCATCATCAATCAAGCGTTGGTCGCAAATTGACTACATAACCATAAGTCGCAGGTGGCGTAGCAGCATATGTGATGGCTAATCATATTGGTCAACCTGTATTGAAACTAAACATTTCTTGGTGTGTGTGACGGTTTGCCTGTGTTCCGGTGGCTCACATAGATCCAAACAAACGCGACTGAACACTTGATAATTGGAAGCTCTGTAGGTGTAAGCAGGGTATCAACAGAGCCTTTGGGAAAATGTGGCCTGAACATCGTTCAGAGTCGCCTTACTCCTCATTCTATGATAACAAGTTGCATTAGTAGGCCAATAAAGCTAGACTGGGTTTAGTGGGATCGTGACAGCCTGCAGCGTTCGGATAGTCGCGCAACTGCATAAGTTCGCCTACACATCCACACAAAACACGTGAAGACCCACAGATTGGCAGGGGAAAACTGTGTCACCGCGTATTTGCTTCATCACCTACAGTTCCAGGGATCGAATCGACCAAGGTCTACTTTAATGGAAATCGCGATCCACATTGTGATTGCGCATCGCAATCCCGTTCACAAAACCAGTGTTTCACCGTGACCCTCATAAGCTAGATAACATTTGGTCAAATCACAATAGACTAAGGGGTCACCAAACTTATTTCAAGGATAACCAAGGAATTACGACCGTGGGTCGGAGTAGATTTTTGTAAAATATTCGTAGGCCAAAGTGAAAGCTCTGAGCGAATGAAATAATAAAATAAGTTCAGCATTTCATGTGGGTGATGCTAAACCGAAAAAAATAAAAACAATAAAAATCCTAACTCGTGAATAATTCCTATGAAATCAGAAGATCACAATTGCGCGAAGAACATTGTTTTCGATAAATCTCATCAGGCATTCACAATGATAGAGCAAAGTTAGAAAACCGATTGGCTAATGAAAGCTAGGTTTAAATTAGAAGTGACTCATTCAAAGTCATATATACTATTCCGAAACGAAACTCTAAAGGACTTAAGAAACGCTTGTTAACAACAGCTGAGGCCATTGCATTCAGGGTTTTGAAACTAGAACTGTGCAAACAACGGTGAAAACCTTGGTCCTACCGTGGCCATGAACGCACTCCGAGGAGAGGTCCCCACCTCAATATGACAGGCGACCAGGATTTGTCATCGCCGATCTATCTGCCCTCACCTACCGTGTGTTTTGTCCGAGCGACTAAGAAATTGATCGATGGCCAGCCATGTCAAGCCAATAGATTGTGTGGATTTCGTGGTTCTTTCTAATTTCGACCCAGCTTTCATTAGCCGATCGGTTTACTAATTCTACTCTATAACTGTAAATGCCTGATGAGATTTATCGACAAGAATGTTCTTCGCGCAATTTTGATCCAATAAAATCTTGATTAACTAGAAATGATCAACGGGAGCGACGTATGCAAAAAGATAGTTACCACAGACATTATGTGCATATATCCAGATGACACGAACTAAGCAACAAAATTATTGGAGAGATTTGTGGAGCTGAGGTTAAACTTTCGAAGTATTATCATTGTTTGGCTTGGAATGGATTCATCCAATCAAGAGAATTGCCTTCAAATGTTCATCAGACAGTTTCTCATTCGATGTGTTGACTTCACATACGTCATTTTTGAGAATATTTGATCACAGACATAAGTTGTTACAAACACTGACGCCGTACCAGCGGCAAACTACTTTAGTTCCGGAAATGCAACAACAACAACAACAACAACAACAACAACAACAACAACAACAACAACAACAACAACAACAACAACAACTAAGCAGCGGTAAAATGCAACAATT